CTCAGCCTTGTCGTATTTTAAAGATCAACATGGATTAATATCCAAAGGGCCAAAGACAAAGGTCTTTTTGGGCGTAAGACAATCCCCAGAGCTAATTCCCCGCCGAACGAAACTCTTGCCGTAATATGTAGTGGAGAAAAAATTCGGATTCTCACATGCCAAGACCGCAAATTTACAACATGCCAACTACGTTCTTGGAAGACGAGGACTTCGACTGAGAAGAGCAAGAAGACGATGTAATGTTTTTTTTCCGTTTGAAAAGTTAAAGCAGTGGCGATGAAGATGCCGTCGCCTGGCTGGCAAAATAATGACGATAGGCAAGCGGCAGGTTTCTCGCTCCATTTGTCAGGTTGTCTTTCTGTCTGGTACGATAATTAAGAACAGAGAATTTGAAGACGTTGCCGCAGCATTCTTAGATAGATTTAGATTTCAAAACAACGCATATGATGTATCATTGTGCAAAATACTGCAACTGCCAACTGAATCAGCTGGGAAATATGTGACTAGGTTTGTAAAACAAGCTCAAAAGGTCAACTGGCCTGAGAGTCTCCGAGTAGGTGCTTTGTTAAATGTTATCCAATAATATTAAACAAAATGTAACCATGAGAGATCATGAGTAAGGCAATCCTCAGAGCTAATTCCCCGGCGACCGAAAAGCTCGCCGTAATACATGTATTAATTACATTTAGAAATTTTCGGGCGACTTTAGCATATGGACCGTAACGACAATAGGTCGAAACCACTGGACACGTTATACAACTTATCGGGCGTTTTATTTGTGCATCCTTTGTAGTTTTTAGCTGTATTGGTCAGAGACCAGGGGCCCGTTTTACAAAAGAACTTACGACTTAAGATCACTTTTAATTCTTCATATAACTTTTTAATTAACTTTATATCGAAAATTATTTTAAACTATTTTAAAGGAATGTGGTTAGATGTTTTTACAGAAACAATTTCAAAGAGAATGATTAATTTTGCAAAATTTTACAATCACCTTAAGTTTTTGGTCTTAGTCGTAAGTTCTTTTGCAAAACAGGCCCCAGAAGAGCTTATGCGAAAGTAATGCGTCCGTCGTACGTCTGTCTGTAAACAACTTTTCAGATTGCTTCTTCTCCTACAGTTTTGGTCCAAATTCAATATAACTTGGCACAGAAGTAGACTACACTAGGATACATAATTCTGTGCATCGGTTTTTGATTTCAACACCTGCCATAGTTATTAAAATAGAAATTTCTGTGAAATTCTTTCATAATGCTACTGTCGCCCGCGTGGCTTAGTGGTTAGAGCCTCTGCTCTAAAGTCGCGAAGTAAAGAGTCAATCCTTACGTCGCGGGTTCGAATCCAACTGTGGGACGTGGAGACCGGTCCTTCGGATAAGACCGTATAAATTGAGGTCCCGTGTCGCAGTAGGTGTTGGCACGAAAAAGATCCCTCCCTGCTCAATGGCCCTGTGTGCCGAGTAAAGGACAATATTTGCAGCTCTCCACCGGCAAATAGTGGCGTCGCCATATGATTGAAAACTTCCCGAGCAGGACGTTAAACAATATACTGTCTAATCCGACACCTGAATAATCCGACACACTGTTAATTCCGACGTTAATTTTTTTCCCATTTTAGTATTTTCCTTGTTTTTAACACTGTGCAATCCGACACAAAATTTGTCTCCCAGTGTGTTTCTATATAACCCATACCCTACTATTCTCGCATAGTGATCTAAGAATTTATATTGCGTAAGCATACTATGCCGAAATAGAGCACGGCTTCAATTTCTTAGGAGAATCCGACAGCGCCCATACCGGGGAGCGAACTCACGACCCCGAGATTGTCAGTCCGACGCGCTACCGATTACGTTACAGACGCCGTTATGTATAGTTCTGTATTATAATATATATGAACTTAGTTTCAAATAATTTACACTCAAAATTAAAAGTAAACAAAACAAGTATATACTGACAAAACGTCAGAGATACTCAAGCTGTAGAAAGTCAGCTAGGAAGTGTCATTAATTAATATCCTAAAATGATATAAGATGAGGGCTATTAAGTTCAATCTTCTGTTGAATAAAATACAGGTAATTGAAACAAAATTCATATATTGAATATTGAATATAATTAATCGTACTACTTTTTAAGATGAACTTACGTTCTACACTTTCAGGTATATTTTATAGGGGATAGTTGCCGTTTCTCAATTTAATGAAATATTTGTTTATGTAGACATTTAATATACTTCAAACTCATGCGCGGATCTAGAGGGGGGTCGGGGGGTGGTGGGTCAGGACCCCCCTGGAATTTACCAGGTTAAAAATGTATATATTAAAACAAGGAAAAAGTTACCATGGACCCCCCTTGGAAAACGCAGACCCCCCCTGGTAAACACGAATATCAATATGTGTAAAATGGGTTTGAAAAGTACTCCCCCCCCCCCCTCACGAAATAGGTTTTTGACGTTTAGGCAAGTTTTACTCTCTTTTTTTTTGGCTTAATTGTCAAGAAATTTTTGGGATAGGATTTTTTTTTGACTGCGCCTGAAACTATAAACAGTTTTTTGAATTTTTTGCTTAATAACGTACATCAGAACCATAGGCGTCGGAACTGGCATTGAAAATTGGGGTTTACGTAATTTTGTTGGTTTAGCCCCCCCCCCCCCTTTTCAATTAGGCCCCCACCCACTTTCAGTTTGCTTCCGACGCCTATGACAACATTTAATATACATCAATCCAAACAGCTTGTTACAAGCCTGTAGAAGAGTTTTTTCAAAGAGGGGGGGGGGCGGGCTGCAAATAATCCACGTGACTACGGATTCATCCAGCTGTGCGACATGTCCATTATATTCCGTACGAATCCAAATGAAGTTATATATAGGTTCCATTACCAAATTGACGATAATGCTATTTTTTAGAAAAACAAACGTACGTATGAGGGTGAATTTATCATTAATAAATTTATTTTGTGCTATTATTTTATTGTCACTCAAAGTACACATCATTTGCAGGCAAGCGAGTTACAATATCAGTTGGGGGGGGGGGGGCATTTTCTGGCCATGCATATTGTAGAATTTGTTAACGATGGGGTAACCTGCGTCACCTTTCAGAGTCACCAGTGGACTCGTCCATGGATGCTTTGTCGGCGACTGAAAGTTACCTGAGATTCCTACGCAAAGGAAAGCGCGAAATCTCTGTAAAGAAACTGTTGCGGCTGCGGGGCTTCACTCGTTGTTCATACGCCATAGAAAAGAATCCAACATTAAACACTTAATATCTATGAATATACAAAAGTTTTCAAGATAAGCTTCATTTTTGTTTCTAGAAATATTTTTCTCTACCAAAATAATATATTTTCGTGTTTTAAAACTTAATAAATCGATGACTTAGCATCGTTTTAGATAACTCAAGCCCCTCTAGGGCTTGAGTAATAAATATTCTAAAATGATTTCTTGCAACCCCCCTTTCTTCACTCAAATAATATTCTCTGAAACTATCTGTAGATTATACCTATAAAGCATGGAAGTTCAAAATTAAAGAAAAAGATTATGACGTACATGATGCATAAGGTGACGTCATAATAGAGTAAATGAATGTTACAGATGATGAAACATCGGGAATAAAAAAAATTTCCGATTTATACAGTAACGACAGTCAGCATAATAATATCCGGCTCGTACACCATGTGTCAAACCCTGACTACTATTTAGGCATAGTGCACGCAAAACACAACACTATTATATAAATAAAAGTTCCTTTTGATTGATAAATGATCTTTTTATTTTTCAACGTTGTTAATTATTTGTCTGAGCTGGACGGGTGTTGTAGAATTATTGAATGTTTATATTATACCATGTAAAAGTTATCTTGAACCCCTAAAAAACACTGAGCGACCGTATAAAAGATTTCCAATGTAAATCAGCTTGCACAAATTTAGCTCTCAGGGTATGATCTATTAGTTTCGGATCAAGCAATTATCAATCCTTATACAGCCTGACGCCGTGACGTCAGGCAATAAGGACGAAAATGAAAACAATAAAGCGACATGTAATTACAACAATAACAAAGCATAAAGAAGTAGGCAGAATAAGAATAAAAGCAAGATACATAGGCTTTTGGCGGTAATTCCCTTCCATACCAGCTAGGTATGCATATACTAGTTGGGAGTTTTATAATTCTGAGTTCATCTTCATATTGTTCAATTTCCATCACTATCCACCTCTGCGTGGTTTGGACTGGGCAATGTCACGTAAGTTATAGCTGTCTGCTAAGTATTTCGGAAATAAAAGGTTCGTCCCGGGTGAACTTGTCCGGTTTTCACCAATCCCGGGTATTCAAAAAATGCGAATATATTTCTTATAATCGGGATTCATTACTGCAACAGTTAAATGTTTTAGGTAGTTGAAGTTCAATTTCAAATATTTAAGAGTCAAAATCAGCAAGCATCGAGCATTTAGTTAAAAAATGTGGAAAGTGGCATAGAAACAGATTTGGTTAAAACTCATATATAAATTTTCAGAACAAAGGGTATGATAGAAAAAAGCAAGCAAAAAATAATTTTCCGCATTGTTGCTATGGAAACCACGCGCTTTCAGTACACGTCTTTTGTACTTTATCATGACACTTGAATTTATGGTTAAACAAATACTTTTTTATTACTAGTCATTAAAAAAAGCTTTTTAAATTATTATTTAATTTATATAAATATACTCTATTTTAACAAATGTTGATTATTAAAATTCTCTTCACCCTTTGATAAATAAAACTAGTTTTTGGAGGTTTATTTTGCTTTAAAAAACAGCAAATTTGAAGTACTCTATAAGAAATCTACAACCACATTAAAGCTTATCAACATAAAATATATATTAAATAGTATTTGTTCTAGAAGAATCAAGAAAAAAATCTGCAGGCAACTAAAGCATTTATATATGATAACTGATTTAAATCCATAATTTTCTGTAACTTTGGCTTCAAATTACCTCCCTTTGGTATAGCTCTCTAACATAGGAGGAATAAACGGTAGTTTGCTTGCATTGTTTTCAATACACTTATACAGAAGACTACCAGAAAATTACAAACTTGGAGCAGTCTGAGCCTCAGTTTTGGCGTTTTCATGAGTCTTAATTACGGTGAGTGACTGAAATTTTTACAATTTACCATTACAACAGTTACTGAAGAATGTATAACATAAATTAACCATGTTGTAAAATATGTAACACTTTTGCAGGTGTTTTTGCACATTTCATTTTAAGCCTAATTCTGATTGATTACTAGTATATATGTTAGCATTACTTTAGTATTTTATTACTTAAAAGAAAAGATTATGCATGGCCTGAGGAACTAGGAGGAGGGGGTATGCCCCCCCCCCTAATATTGCCGATATTAAACTGTAACATGATAAAATGAAATTAAATTCCCTAACTCAGATTGTTTCTGCGGGCCTAACGTGAAAAAGTTGGTCATGATTAGTTACATAACTGTATTCCAAATTTTAAAGTTTAATGTGAATTAAGTTTAATTTTGATTTGTTGTATTCACGGCATGTGTGTAACCAAGTCACTCACCAGCTATAATGATTATAACTTGAGTGATTGTCGGGTAAATAAAAATTCTGTATAGAATAATAGATATCTTTATTTACCATTTAAGATATTGATAATACCTGCTTTTTACATAAAAAATTATGAATTTATGAAAACCAACACTATTATGAAATATTTGTAAAATGGAATGACCTTTGTTATGGCGTCCGTAAAAAAAAAGGGGGGGGCACGGGATTAACTCTGTACTTAATATATTTTAGTTTAGGAAAGGGGATTACTTTGGAAGTATTGTGATACAGACAAGTGTATTATGTAGTGGACTAGTGGTAACTGAATTTTATATATACCACAGTAGAATAATTAATTAAAAAAAAAAATTTTTTTTGCTGATGTCATCCAGTGTTTACTTATAAAAGAAAATCCATATTCAGCTAATATTTTCTCCGGTACCACTGAACTAATTTAAGTCAACTTTAAGGTTCAAATAATAAGCACCTTCAGATTTAAAGCACCTAAATTTATTAGAAGAATCAATAATCTATACTCCATATTTTCTTGGGGGGGGGGGGGGGGGGGGTTGGGCCGAAATGAAAAACAAAATTTAGGGTTTTGCAAAACCTAGAACCAACTGACCTTTTTATTACAAGTTTTTGGATTTAAAGAATATCTAAAATCAATGCGGTCTCAACTTTGTGTTGTATACTTCTGTTTTTAGAATGAAATTAGGCACTTTGAAGCCAAACTCGGAAAGAAGCAGAAACAGAATTGGATGAGCTGATATAGAATGAGACAGGAAAAACATGTAAATAATACATTAAGTAAATACGTTAACTTTTTAAAATAAAATGATAAACCATTGAGATCTCTTGGAATTTAATTGATTCCAATAAACATGCTTTCCATTCATCATCATTGCTCAAGTTCAACTAGAAATGGTTCTAAGTAAATATCTGAAGGCAAAGCTGTATAATATTATAACATTTTAATTTTATCACTTTCTCAGGTTATCATTATGAGAATACGATATTACAATACAGACCATTGATGCTGGAAGTGAGTGGATAGTGTTACCGGAGACTCAGGGATCCAGAAAATAGATCCATAAATTGTACAGTGTATTCATGAAAGAGGATCAAATAAAAATGTTGAATCCAAAAGTAACATTCTTTGTTTGTCTGTTAGCATTTGTATATTGATGTAAATCTAATAACTATCAATTTTAAGCATGCAGATTCATAAATAGATAGTAGAAGAATCTGAAACATATCTTTATATTCTGCATTTTGAAGTAACATAATTAATACAAGGTCAATATTAAATGATTAATTAATTTCAAAACTGACAAAATGTTTTTGTGAGAAAAAAGAAAGAGCTCTAATTGTTATATTGTACCTCATGTACCACTGATGTTGGCGTGAGTGAAATAAAAATGATGATGATGATGATGAACTAGTTAAAAGTCGGACGACACGTTCCTCAAATTTATGTTTTGTATCTCTTAGTATTTATATACAGTGAAAACTGTCTAATCTGACACCTGAATAATCTGACACAATGTGAATTCCGGCGTTAAATTTCTTTCCCATTTTAGTATTTACGTTGTTTTTAACACTGTGAAATCCGACACCGTCAGTTGTCTCCCAGTGCATGTAGGATTACACAGGTTTCACTGTATATATAAAATATTCATATTTGTCATTCTCTTCTGATTTCTACATTGCTTTCACTGACAATGTTTTTAGATATAAGTACAATAAAAATTTCGATATATGCCATTCAAAGATTGCCCATTAGGGTTTTTAATGAATTTCTTTTAGGGTCAGTTCAAATTTAGACATTCATACATATTTAGCCCTTCCAGATTTTTATTTTAGGCACCAGTAGCTACTGAGGTCTTAGCTGTCTTGCAATATTGTTTCAAAATTAGGACAGTAGGAGAATATATCATCAGTTCAATACCAAAGACAGACATGGTATCGTTTTTGAAAGTGCACACTGAAAGAAATACATAGTGATTTTAACAAGTGTGCCTCGTAAAGCATTTGTAGTGATTAGTCATCTTTCTGTTTACTGTCTAAAATAGTTAGAAGTGGAGCGGGGGTTGTATAGATACGTAAATACCTAGTGAAAGTTACTTATCAATTCTAGATTTACTAATCTTATCTAGTAAATCTAATCAATACCCAGTAAAACTACTTTTAAGGTAGTGATTGTATGGACAGTTTTACTTGTCTTCTTAGTACTTCAACTAGTTTTTTTTCAGTGCATGGTGTGGGGTAGGCATTAAAAAAACTGCAAAAAAGTGGGGAAATTCTCCAAACTCGGGGTGGGGATGGGGGTGGGGGGTAAACATCAGGTTATGTTGAGAAAACAGTTGGATGGGGGATGCCATCCCCCCTACCCAACCCAAACCTGATGCTACATGCCTGATTGACATGGTTTTACTTTAAAATTATGTCAGCTGTCATAGTGACTCTCTTTCATAAACTAAAATTATTGTGAGCAAGCTCATAAAATGATACCACCCCTCCTGCTCTTGCATAAAATGTTTTTATTACAAAAAAGGTACAAAATTTAATTAATTTGAAACCTTTTAAAATTTTGCTAGTGCAGATATACATACCAAAAATGACTATGACAAATGCTCAAGTCATAAGTAGTAAAACCGTTGTGTTGAGCAAAAACTCATAATTAATAGTACACTTTTACTGCAGTGACCTTGAAAAAGCTATGTCCTTGAGTCAAGGTCAAACATGTCCAAATGAAATTTGGTCAAGGTCATGACAACCCTTCAGCTCAAAAATAATTCCCGAGATGAACCAAGTCTTTTCATTAGAACGTTACAGAATGGGCAAAGATTGCACTTTTCTTCTACCAATGACCTTGAACTTGTTCAAATGACCTTGAGTCAAGTTTTTGACACATCTCTTGATCACAAGCAATCTTAATATCAAGTATGAACTTTCAGTGGCACTTCATTGAAATGTTATGGACAAGTCAAAATTTTACATACATATGGATCGGTGAACAAGGTGATTCCTATCCCCCCCCCCCCCCCCCTTTTCCAAGTTTCGTTTGTGAGGAATATAAAATTCCTTTTGAAATTGAATGGGTATTTATTTATCAACAATAGTAAAATTGTGAGTATGCATTGATCAGAACCAATATGACCAATATAATGGACACTGTACATGTATTCAAATTACCCCACCCCTTCAAAAAAGCTTATAAATGCCAGATTATCACACATTTTAACCATTTGTAACTTTTTTATACTAAAGTTGCCTGCAAATTTTATTGTATAGATATGACATATAGATAACCCGTAACAAGATCACACCATTCATTTTTCCAGCAGTGGTTGTAGATTTTGTGTATATAGTGATAAACATATGCAACTTTTTTTCAAAATTAGTAAGCATTGACGCCATGTTCTTTTCCCATTGTCATGGCAACAATATCACCACAGAAATATTGTTTTTCCTGTTTTGGGAGAATAAAGTAATTCCTTCTTTTAACAAATAAAGTAACAAAAATACCTTATCTTATCACGTTCAGAAAACATATTCATAGAAAAATGTCTAAAAATCATTGATTTTCATAAGGATTTATGAGCCCGTTGCTAAGGAAATTAATTTCCTTGGATACCAGTCCCTTCATACGTTCAAAAAAAATTTTAATTGTGTTTTAGCATTAGGTAGGACAAAATCTTTTATATAACAAAAGATTTTGAAAAAATAAAATTTTGACTTTCCATTCAATGCTCGATGCTTGCTGATTTTGACTCTTAAAAGAAATCATTGTAAATATGTTGCCGAAATTTAGTTTTAATAGCTAAAATGAGTAATGCGGGCTCGCTACCCATTTTAGTCACTTGGAAAAGGACAATCGGCGATAATCATAGAAAAACAAAACATTTTGACTTAAAACTTTCAGCGATGGTCAATCCTAGGATAATTAACTATATCCGTAAATTTCATGAAGAAAAAAATGAGTATTTATTTCGTAAAAACCCGGTTTTCAGTTTCGAAATTCCCGGCCCGGCCCGGGTTTCGCTACCCATTTTAGTCACACTCCTGCGGGAACAGATTCATCAGTCAGAGAGAACATTGTCATTATAGTCTTTCACAAATCTTTTAGACGATATATTTGGTAAGGACCTTTAATATCTTTCAGAACATAAGTTTAAAACATCGAACATGCTGAAGCACTCCAAAAAATGAAAAATCGTGATATAGGCATATCATAGCTGCAGATTTGTAGCGTATCGTCTCGTATCCTGTTTTTGACCGTATTGTATTTTCGACCTATTTCTCCCAATCTGCCCCCGTGCAGATTCCGCGCGGTAGAACATTATTTTCGGTTGCCCCACTTGGAAAAAGACCTTTGAAGCACAAATGTATTGAAAATACCCAAAATAATTAATTCAACGGAATTTCCCCGATGGTTTTAATCCGATGACAGAAATCCTAGTCTTTTTACTAGTGCACATATTATCTGTTGATTAATCAAACCCGTAATCGGTTAATTACAAAGATTTTTTTATGACATTTTCCCGAAAGAAAATTAAGATCTCCGTCAAAGAGACGCATTAATATTGAAATAAATGGGTGGATCAAACAATTTATATTCTTCTTTAAATATGAACACTTTCTTACAGATTTTTACTGAAAAATGCAACGTAATTTCGTTGATTTTTTTTTTTAAATGCACAGTTTCTAACAGATAGATTCAACCAAAGAATAAATGTATTTGCAACCAAAATATGCAACTTGTTCAATGTTTTTGGGAGTTGAACTATGTTCAATCTCCCATGGTCGCAGTAATCTAGCGCAGTAATTTTACAATGAATTATATAGCGGCTGTCATGGTGCTTCTGTGTCGGCCGATTTACTCCCCTGTGATATTCAATATAAACTCGCATCATTCTATATAAACTCACAGAAACGCCCGCAATAAAAATAGTCCATCTCATTTTTCTGAATTGATCTAATTTTCATAAATGATTTGAAAGTAAATTAAATTGAATTTTATTTAACTTAACCTGAATAGCATATTTTTGTCATATCTCCTAGAAATGACTCATAAAATTGATTTCTGGATTAAAAAAATAGTCCCAGTTTTCTGTCATTTATCAATTGACAATTCTTGGCTGACTCCACTACGCCCCAGTGCTTTTAAAAGTTTCTTCTAAATAGTAAACTTTTTGATACTTAAGTTTAGTTCATTCTCTCCTTTATATACCAAATGGTTCGATGGCCGTGTCATTTAAAGGAATGACAAGATTTAGGAAAATCTTTGAAAAGGGTCGGAATTATTTAAAATAGAGCTTTTGTCTGCTGTCAGAGTAAGAAGCTGTGAAAAACATGTAATGTCAAAAGGAACGCTAAGGTTTTAAACAACTTCTTTCAATTTGTTTCAGCAATGAAGAGACAGAACAACGCTTGGTTAAAAAAATATTACGGAAAAAAATCACGGTCAGACATTTTTTGTTCTGACAAGTAAAAATGATCTGTTAGACTGGAAAAAGTTTTGTCAGACCAGATACATGCAACTCATTTTTTTACGTTGGTAAAGGGAAAAAATAATAGTATTTAAATACTTTTCAAGTTTTTTGATATTCGATATCACGATTTCAAATGACATTAATTTTTACTCGGCTATGTTAAGGAAGGTCAGAGTTCACATTCCTTGTACATCGTATTGGAAGTTTAATTGTGACGTCATTGAAATTCAACAAGCCACAAAAATTAATTAACGACATGATCATGCATAAATAACAACTTGAATTTATTTATTTTTATCGATTATTCATAAAATCTTGTAAAATTGCAAAATTTGCAATACTTGATAGCGATACAGTCGAGTAATAGAAGAAAGCCTGTTGTCAAATATGACGTCATCAGCCTTGACATGACGCAGCACAAATGATCCAGAGGAGTAGATTCACTGGTTTAATAATTACAAGAATGCTTTAAATAAATATGATACCATTGATATTTTTTAGGCCTTATCATTAAAACTAAAAGAAAATAATTTATTAAATACAATGTGTATAGAATATAAATTTATCTAGTAGCATTGAAGCTGCACAGGGATAAGGAATATAGAGAATATCGCTAAAACGATGAGTATATTCGTGATTTACATCAAAAGTGCAAGGGCATAGACTATTTTGTTTGAGGTGAAATTTGGAATATTTATTGCTCATATAGTGTATATTTTGAAAAGTGCTGGGAGCTGATCCTGGTCTGCATAACATTTATTTTATTTATAACAGATATAAATTTTATTTAACAGTTATAAATTTTATTTATAACAGAAAAATTTCCACTTCGCTTAAACCACTAAGGATCTGTGCCAAGTCAGGTTACGATATTGTTATCCAGGTCTAGTGCAATCACTAGATTTAGCTACGTAGGTAAAATTACCTGTGTTGCTTTATTTACCTAACTCAGGT